AGATATATTTAATCACAGACCCGTGGCCTGTATTCTCATCTCCTCACTCAACACACGTCGACGTTAAACCCGCTATTAAAAGGAAACGTGCAGCAGAGCGCCTCGCCCCCTCTGCGAGAGCGACTCCAAGTTAGCGAGAANNTTAATTTGCCTTCAAAATAAAGAGCTTCCCCTTCAACTCCAAGCGGTTTCGAACGGGGGTTTAATAGTCAGGTGTTTTATTGTGAAACTCGCGACCGTTGGTAGGTTGTTGCTAACTGAAGTTGGCTTAGCAACAGCCTTTTTTTTTTTTTTCTTCTCTCTCCGCTTTTCTCTACGTGCTCCTCAAACTAGCCTAAACTGGATGGCCCAAGGCGCATCAGCGGCGGCAGCAACAGCACGGAAACACAAACCAAAACAGTGTCACTGAGAGAAACACAGCGGAGAGCATAGCTACACCTCGCAGCAGCCGCCATGAATCAAAACCCATGTGTAAAAATCAAAAGATTCAACGTCATTTTGGTCTTAAAACTCCCAATCACCGCTGTGTTGTTTGAATGACCGGCTGCAGATAAGAGATGACTAGGCCACAAAGTCACACACAAACCCGGTCCATATGGTCCATAACGCATAACGTTACACTGCGTATCGTCTCTCACCTCTTCCTCACGTTCATTCTTGAAGCACAGACACGCTGCTCGTTTCTTGAAGCCCTCGCCATCGTATGTCCTGGTCTGGTTCGGCTTGAGCTTCATTGTGGGTTTATTCTGCCTCCTTTAGATTAAAAAAAAAACCGGCAAAAAAAAAAAAAAAAGGGAGAGAGAAGGAGGAAGAGGAGGAGGAAGAGGGGGTCCAACGAGTTTAACAGCAGAGCCGCCGCATCGTTGCTGCTCTCTGCATCCGCGGGGTCCGAGATGGTCAGTAGCAAGAAGAGGAGGAGGAGGAGGGTTTATCCTGGATTTATGTTTTCCTCATGAAACAAACAAAAACAACAACACACACACAAAAAAAAACCAGTGCGTCTCTCGGATGATTCAAATGCAAAGTGAAGCCTCCAGTTGCTGCCTGTGATTTGCAGGTCGGCAGTGAGTGTGCAGCCCCGCAGGCACAGATCTTATGTAGACTACAGCCTACACAGCACAGCCCTCCTCTGGATCCATCTGCGCATGGCCGCTGACTCAGTACAATGAACAGGCAGCCCGGAGTTTAGATATACAGATCACTCCTCTGAGGCAGGAGAGGGCTCATTGGTTGGGTAGGACCCAGGTGGGAGGGACTACATTTCTAGGGGCTTGGGGGGGCAAAACAGTGTGATAATAAACAAATGCGTAAATTTGTCTCCAGCAGAGCACGGCAGCATTTTTTAACAAGTTGACCTGTTTCAGAGTGCAGTCACTGAGGAAGAAGAGGCTGAATCCATGAGCTTTTCATTCTGGGGATTGCTCTGTGGTGCAATATCTACAATAACTGTTCATGGAGAGGTGATTAGACATTAAAAAATCATATATGGCATCTAAAATAGCATAACAATTTCAGGTTTTATTCGTTTATTCGGTGAGTTTAATATCTATACTCCTTATTTTAATGTCTAAATGCTGTTTTAAAAACATTCTCCACACTGCCAGGAATACAATTCAGGTTGGGAAATACTTTAATCTAGAAAAAGTCAAATGTAAAACTAATAAAAAAGTCTAATAATACTGTAATCAGCCTATACAAAGACAAAATTGTCAAATATAACGTCCTTACGGTTACTACAATCCCCAAAATCCCCCCAAATAATACAAAGATCTCAGTGCGTTCAGTAGAGTTGATGCGATTTATACCATGTCAAATGTTTTCTTGGTATATATTTATGCTACCAAGACAGCTTTACAATCTAAGCATGAAGTCTTAGTATTGTGTTAAAACACTCTGGACTTTCACGGTCTAAATATCATTCCTGAGTTTAATGTAAATGATGAATCAAGGACAAAGCAGAACATTTTCAAAATAATGGCGCAGCAGGAAAAGCACAGGTGTAAACAATAAAGTTAATGATGGCTGAATTCCATTTAGCTGCCTCAGTTTCAGGGTGCGGGTATTGTCCATGCTGGCTCACTGTCACACACTGGGACACTTGAACACAACGGAGCCATTGTTGTTAATGTTACGAGTAACACCTGTGCTTTTTCAACACGTCTGCTGTAAAGAATGGAAGGTTTTAGGTTCAATCCCAACACATGCAAGCCCCACGCCGGTTTTGACCTTAGTGGGGTATAAACTTCCAATTCTTAAATCAAAGCTGTAAAATCCCCCAAATATGTTAAGAACACCATAGTCTTAACCCTACAGGCTTCGGGCTTACCTCTCCTCACAGTTATTAAACCTCAAGCTCAGTATTAATGCCATTCAAAGCCAACAAATAAAACCAGCCCTGTTATAAGCTCATGTATTTGTCAGATGCAGTCAGCCATGACATTTTTATTGCACTTTTATCAGAGCTTTTTTCTTTTTGGACTTCCATGTTTCAAGTACCCGTGTGTTGGAAAATTCTGTCCCTTTTATTTGCTAAAGGAAAGCTTTAACGTTCAAAGATCAGTGGCTTGAAAAATAACTCCACCGCTTGCTTGAACTGAGCTCTACAAAATTAGCCAACTAGTAACGCCTTCTAGATTGTAGTTTTTGTGTTTGGGGTGTTTTGGGGGTGTTTTCTTTTTAGCAAAACTGTGCACAAGATCACATACTACATGTTCAATAGTTCACAGAAGAGTTACATTAATCCGGTGTGTTTGGTAATCAGTCATCAACCCCCATCTCTCATTGAATCTACATCATAACTAAGGTCATTTCCAGTTCATGTGAAAAAATAGGGCTGAGGTATTTACACAATTCAAAACTGTTCAAAGGTATGTTGACTAAAAATATGAGAGGTTTGTGAAAATCTGGTGTTTTAAGGTAGGGTCCGAGGTCTCAGTGTCGCAATACAATCTGTTTTAAAGGGGAGTTGTCGCTGTGAATAAGCACCACTCCTAACTGCTACTAAACACATTAGAGTCTGTCTCCAATCATATCTGATGGCGCTCCCATGTTGCTGCTGGGTTCATGTTAATCTTATATAATGTAAGGTTAAAAACTACTAGGTTTTTAAAAACTGTGACTGCATTGAAAGCAGCTGTAACGTATTAACTGATTTAATGCATTCGGCTTTTCTGTTACGTAATCTATAAATGTCATAATAGTAGATAATCAAGTGGTGACACAGTAGAGTGCATGCGTGGTGGTGAAATCTGTGTCCAGCTTCCGTCACCCTTCGGTTCACCTTTGACCTAGGAGGATCCACATGTTATAACTCACCAGATAACATTAAAAGCCAAATGACCTCCAGGAGACAAAGATTGATCAAAGAATGAGATTGATCAAAGTGGGTCAAAGAGTGAGACAATCCACTTGTTTGTGAAGGTAATCAAGTGTTGTTGCCAGTGATGCTTTATCTTATCTGACAGACTACTTTCAGGCTATGGTAGACAGTATGCCGGCAAAATATAAAAAAAAACCTAGTGTATGTCAATATTCCCTTCAACTTTAAATTGTTGAAAGATAGACATAAAAAATAAAACACTGCAAATATTAGGTCCAATAAACAATTTATTTGTTGAAAAGGATTTAAAAGCTATGAGACATGTCGGATGTGCACAGACTATATAGTCTCTCTCTCTCTCTCTCTCATAGAAGAGGGGTCATCAACAATCAACCACACAAACACACACACAAAGGATTACATAACAGAAATAATTGCTATCAAAATCAAAGCGATACTGAGCAAAACATTTCACCCAGAGGCACAAACAAGCAAAAAAGTGTAAAAAAACATGCCCGAAATACAAATGCCGAACGACATAAATCAAAGCAGAATGAGAAAAACATCAAATGTCAAACTGTCAAAAATAACAGATCGTCCACTGTCACTTCAGAACAGAGTTACTGCGCATCCACCATTACAGGCATAAATTACAGCATAACTAAGAGAAAGAAGATGAATTGCCAATACATTTTGTACAGACATTCATGGTCCCCAGAGGATGAATCCTACTGACTTTGGATATGCCCTGACTTTTCCTGTAGTGCTAGCAAATGAAAAATGTTCACTTATCCAGTTACATATTGCAGCAAGTTCAGCTCCTAAACAAACTGACACTAAGATGAATTATAATAACTGATGATCCCTTAACTTTCCTCTGAGTTTCAGTATGAGGTTGAAATTTCATCAATATCATCATCATTTGTCTAATATTTTGGAATACAACTAACCTTTGACTTATGAACACTAATGACATTCCCCATCAGCCTCAGCTGTATGTTCAGTTTGATGCTTATTAGCAATATTAGCATGCTAACACGCTAAAATGACGGTGAATATGATAAACGTTATTGCTATAAATCAGCATCTTAGCACTGATACTGTGAGTGTGCAGCATGCCGACATTAGCATTTAGCTCATGGCACTGCTGTATGTAAAGCCTCACAGAGCCGTTAGCATAGTCGAGCCACACACTGACTGAAATCTCTGGTTGCACACATATCTTGAGTAAACTGTGGGGATAATTACTGTCCTGATAACGTAGAAATTCCTCGCCAGTGATGAAAAAATCACTACATGCACATGCCATGTTATCATTTCAACAACAGCAGTTATCACCTGAATGGGAGAGAAACTCAATAAGCCTGTAGGTCATCGTGTTACCGGAGGTCAAACAGCATCATCATCTTGTTTTAGCAGGGTTACACAGGCATTACGCTGATCTGATTATGATGTGACGACTTGATAATAATGATATGATCATTTCAGACCATAACAAAGTTAAAAATACAAAAACTACTCATTGAGTTCCTTATGAAGATACACAAACAAACAAAAACAGACATCCACATAATGAATTTTATATGATGAAATAATATGAATTTCTTGAAAGTCATGACTGTGGATAAGTGTAGACGACAGCAAATGTTTAAATTACTATATACAGCTCAGGTAATTGTATATTTCATGGATTAAAAGGTAATCTAAGTCCAAAAGTGACAGAAAAAAATCTGATTATCTAAGTGAGTCTGAACATTTTGGAGGATTACTACAGGATTTGAACAATTTTAGAGGATTTGTATCAATGCTATCAGGGTCAGGAGTTAGAAAATGAATGTATTTATAGGATTGTAATGTCGTGTTGCATGTATGATATATGATTGTAAATCATTTATAAGGGACTAAAATTAGAATCATGCTTCCAAATATAACAACAGATGCTCAGTCATGTTATCATCTTAATGGCATCAGTCACCTCAGAGGAAAATAAATCTTTCTGTCATCGTGGTACTTGAAGTGGTTTATCATCATCTTCCTGCATAGCAAAGGAAGGCAATTAAGAGGTCCCCTTTTAGCCGTGGTGTGAGGGGAATAGAAAGATCCAGTTCCTCCTGGCTCACACTGAGACAGATGGAGGGACGAAGGAGCCAGAACTGAACGTCTGCCTATCGCCGTCCTCACTTTATCAGGAGAGTCAGAGGACATCTGCTCCCTGACGACACAACAGGCTCAAACTACACACACGTATACATATGCCACACGTAATAAATACAGTATGTGCACAGAAATCCAGTGTACATGTGTAGTTACATCGATACAGATATATACACAAACAGAGACAGTAACACTCTCACACACTCAGTCTAATCTGCCTCTTCATTTGTGATCCACTCGGTGTTTGCAGCCAACTCCGATTACACGTATAAAATCCTGAGCTGATTAGCTGAACCCATAAGTCTTTGACCTCAGCGCCGAGCCTTCAGACATGAGGCATGTGAGGGAATGGCTTCTTGCCAGAAAAGGGAAAATTAGAGCCACAAAGCTGAAACGCCTAACACATAATTCTGATAAAGATGACGACAATGAGGCATCATTTATTCCCTCCTAAATTTAGTGAATGGATAATCAGGCAGTAGCTATAAGGCTAATTTTAGACTGGGCCACCTGCTCTCCCATAACGTCTCCCGTTATTAGACGCAAATTAAGCTTTAGTAAACCCTTAACTCGCCTTATATATTCACTATGACAAAGACAGTTGTTACTCAGGGTGAGGTGGAGGCTGGAGCTCATCCAATGATGAACTGAGCTCCTGACAGTTGGCCAAGGCTGCTAAGATGGATGT